GTTGTTGAACTTGGTTTATAGTTGGTTCTTCTTGAACCCCTATGATATTCTGCCTGCGTCGAACAGGTGGTTGGGGGTTCCCAAAGAAATCTACTATTCACGCCATATGCGCTGACAACTGTTGGTATGATTGGGTGTTTTCTTGATTGGTTCTGTTTATATTCTGGATTAGGGGAGAAAAGATAGTATTCATTTCCCTCGCCAGTATTCCAACCATATCTTGGTTACTAGCGTCCATCTGTTGTCTAAGTGTTGCTTGGGTATTTGTTGTTAAAGTAGGCATCTGGGCTGATAGGCCTTGGTTTTGGGCGCTTCGACCAATTGAACCAACATTTTGAATCGACGAAAAAGTACTTATGTTGGGTTGCGTATATGCGAAAGTGCCATTGTGTAACCCGCTCATGAATGATGATGAGGGCCCTCCATATGGCTGTTCTGTCCAAGGCCTAAAATTTTCGAATCCTGGTGGCCTGTGGGGTGTCGAAGGTGGTATTTGACATCCTACATATGTCAAAACATGACCATTTTGAGTATTCGACAGAGATTCTGATGTACCCCCGAAGGGGGCACGTTGGTGCACTAGCCACAGAAGCAGTTCCTGTGTAAGGTGGGTTCGAATTAGTTGCGGCCATTGCTCCTATTGATGTTGGAATGGCCTGGGAACTAGTCGTCGAATTTATACCGACCGTTCCTGATCCTTGTGGAGGATTTTGTCCTCCTTGATCATTAGTTGTGTTAACCATTCTTCTGGTGTGTTTTTTCTTAGGTATTGGTTGAGATTCTCTAGTAACTCTGCCACTCCTAAGGTTCATATAACGCTTTTGTGTATCTTACCAGAAAATAGTGTTTCAAACCCTCTGTTATGATTACCACTGGTTTTCTCTTAAAACGTTATGACACAGTCCCACTGGGTGTGCCAATTTGTTCGCAGTGATTTCTGGCGAAACAACTGTTAGTCTTCCAAACAGATTTGATATGTATGGTTACTTGCAGGATCGACTAGATTGATCCTAGGACATTGTCTTAACGTCAATTGTAACACTTTCTTGAGGGCTTATGTGAAATATGAAGTGATACTTGTGCATGTGTTTGTGTAAAGGCTTGGAATGCAAGACTTCTGAAATTAAATTCAAATGTAAAGGTTTAGACGAAACGTCTTAATTAAACGGAAAAAGGTTTGAATGTAAATATTTGACAATAAAAATACTTAATACTGGAATTAAGTGACTTGATTATAAAGAAAAAAGCCTTTTAAAAAGAATTTGATTTATAATGCTTTGCAGGGAAGTAAAACAATTCGACAGAACATAAAGAATTTAACGGAACATAAAGAATCTTAAGAACAATTACAGGAATATGTAAAAGAATGATTTCAAAGAAAATTATATTGATAAGTGCAATTTCAAAGATAAAATTGTGAGGTCATACGTACATTCTCAACGAAACTCTTTCTCTTTAACTTGGTACTTGAGTATTTTTTGTGAGTAACTTTGTACGAATTCTGACCTCCCTTTTCCTTAACACTAAGAAGTTATTTATAATGTCCTAACCATAACGGTACTATTCTAAGAAAAGGCCACATTGATTTCTTGCATGTCTTTCGACACTCTAAGGCTTCCACGCGTCCTTCTTATCCAAAGAAACCATTTTCAAATTTCAAATAATCCCGCTCAAGCCTTCAGCAATGATTTTCTTACTTGACCGTCGAAAATGCGCTCTCTTGATAAAAACTTGTCTTTTCAAATTATCTTCGATGCAAATCTAGCAATATACTTCGACTAAAGCTCATTTTCAGCCACCTTATGAAAATTTTAAAATGTAGAAGTTCCTTTATTAACCTGGTCGAAATTCCCAGCTAACAATATGTGACTTTGACAATGACAAAAGAGAAAAAGTTATTCATAAATATAAAATATAGAAGTTTATAAAAAAAAAAGCGAAGCTGATCAAGTTCGAATGTTGAGAGAAAAAATATATCAAATAGAAAGATCAATATAAAAAGGAACTGAAGTTGTGAAAGCTCTTCTAGTCTTACGTTTCATTATTTTATCTGTTTTTTTATCAATAGTATGTAAATAATAAAGAGTAACTTTTAAGGTACTAAGGCAATGCAAGTGCGCACATACACACAAGCATTTTCAAACCTTCATCTTTTCAAAATTTCTTCAAAATTCATTTTTGGCCCATACCTTATCAATTTCGAAGCGTTTTGGAAAATTAGGAAACCAAAGTCTTATTGTCTAATTGATTAAAACTAGTGTCGTTTTAATTACAAAGAGGATTTGACACCTAATATATTAGGAAATATTTTAAGCTCTTAGGGAGCAAACGTAGATTAAGGGATTCCTTATTTCCAAGGGCTAATCGATTATCGTCACAAGAAAATAGATTAGAAAGAGGGTAGATCCCTTGAATTATATATATTTTTAGCCAAGTCCTTGTGCACTCTTCCAAAGAATGAATTTTTTGGTTTCACACTCATATCTTCTCCCACTTTCTTCTTATGTGTTGCTTGTATTCAATATAAATTACGTTAGTTTCGAGAGAGTGAAAGGCTTATACCAAGAGTTGTATAGTATAGTTGTTTATTTGTTTTTAGTTGTAATTTTTATTCAAGAGCATAGTTCTCTTGTATCTTTGTAAGAGATGTGAAGTTGCATGTTAAATTTGTGAAAAAGTTTGGTGTATGGAAATTTATTAGAATGATCCAGATGTGAACGCTCAATTTATATAGTGGAAATCTCAAGGGAGAAATCTTAGGAACTAGATTAAGTCATGTGGTTTAAGGTAGAACGAATATAACTCCAAGAGTAATCTTTCTTTATCGTTTTTAACCTTTATGCATTTTTCTTCTGCTGCTTAATTTCTTTTTTTTTCTTCTCATTTCTTAAAAGCAACCTACCTTAAAATCAATTGTTTGTCAAAAAATTAATAAACCAAATGACACAGCTTTCTCCATTACTCTTGTGTTTGAATTCACTTGGTCAAAAAGTGGAATTATAACTTAACTCTTGTAATAATATTAACCCGCTCAAGAGGTAAGACTGAATTCAAATCATTCATAAAACAAACTTCAATCCTTTGATGGAGAATGGTATGTTTATTGGAAAGAGAAGATGAAAAATGTTTATACAAGGGATGAATTGTGATATCTGGGGTGCTGTAAAAAATGGTATATTTATTCACACACATCTAGTTGACGGTGTTGTGGAAAATTAGCTTATAGATCTTTTGACTAAAAAGGATAAGGGAAAGGTTTAGTACATTCTAAAAGCAAAAACTATTATCCTCTCAGTGTTAATGAGTTTTTTTCGCGTTTCTCACTATAATTATGCAAGAAATGTGAGACACCCTTTAAATTACTCATGAAAGTGAAACTAAGGTAAAAATGTCTAGAATAAACACATTGAGCCGTGTATGAATTTTTTAGAATGAAACTTGAAGAAAATATTCAGGACATGGAAAAACAATTTATTCATACCGTAAATTAGTTGAGAACTCTGAGAAAAACCTTTCTAAATGAAGATTTAATTAACAAAGTTCTTAGAGTTTACGATGAAAATGATACTAACTCTTCTAACGAATCATAAAAGGATGAAGAAGAAAACATGTGTCTTATGGAAAAACACAAAGACAATGTAGTAAACAATCTAACTTTCTACTTTACTTATCACGAACTATTTCTCATTTGTAAAAATTTATATTAATGAGTCAAGTAAATTGAAAAAAAAATATTTATCCAAGTAAAATGGTTCTTCTTTTGAAAAAGAAAAATATATATTAGAAGAAATATATTGTCTTAGAGAAAAACAAAATCTTTTAATTCTAAACTCCCATTCCCATTTTTTTTTCTCCTTCTTATGAGAACTCTAAATAATTTATCAAGTGTGAAAATACAACCTTTTATAAAACCAAATTGAAGACATGTATAACACACTTAATAAATTAACCAAAGGGAGAGATCAATTGAATCTCATTCTAGGAAATAAAAGAGCAACTTTAAAATTAATATGACTGAATGTAACTATTATGGTAAAAGTTTTAGATCCATATTCTTCCAAAGGTGACACCTACACAACCTAGCAGACTTCTAATAGCAATCTCTCCTATCTTAACCTACTAATATGGCTACCTTTTTCCCTTCTCTAAACTTAAAAGAACAACTAAGTTGCTTATCTAATTTCAAAAATTTCAAAGCTATCTTATCATCAAAGTTAATAGAATTATTAGAAATCCTAGAGTAGCATAGGAAAGAGGTGCACCTCAAAGACTAAAAGACTAGGGGCCTGTTTGGATCACTTCTCAAAAACTGTTTTTTAATTTTTAAAAATTAAAAACATAAAAACTTGTTTGTTAAACTATTTTTAAAATAGTAGTTTTGAAAACTAGTTTTGTTTTGTTTTAAAAACTAAAAAAAGAAAAACTCATAAAGGTTATTTCAGTTTTCATTTTCAATTTTGAAAACAGACGGAAAAGTGTGAATTTTCATTAATGACACTTTGGTAATTTTTTTATTTTTTATTTATAACTTCATAATGATATCAGTATTGTGCTATGCTTTTAAAAAAAAAAGCTTTTCTATAATAATAACAATTATGATTTGTAGTAATGTTTAGCATGAAATCATTACAAATAAATATTAAGGGCAGATCATTTTAATTTTATCCACACATTCAAGTTCTAATTTTTTTTCTGTAAAGAACCAAACTCTTCGAGTTTTTATATTTTCATTATATATAACATGAATATGGATTCTTGTATTTTTAATCTTGTATTAATCTCCTCAAGCATTTAATGTGTTGAATTTAAATCCTGTTATTTCAAGAAATAGTAAAACTGTATTGAGTAAATGCACTCTGCAACATATCAACTAACCATAGACTCTTCCCACCTGCTAATATTTACTTCACTCTATGCTTATATTCCCCACCATCTCCTCACTTCACACCACTCACTTCACTCCTCTCATCTCATCTCATTCTTCTAAGCATCTTCAAAAGATGGCCAGGAAAATAACCACTTTCACAATGCTTCTTGCACTTCTTTCTCACCACCTTTTCATCATTCCTGTTATCTCCTCCACTCTTGAAGATCAGAAGAACTACTACATTCCAGATCCACATTTCAGAAACCCTCCTTCAACTTTCTCTGATTCTCTATGTATTTCTCTATCTTCATTTTATCATGCAACATTCTTTATCATTTTAGCAAAAGTTGATACTAAAGTATTTTATATTTTTTCTTGCTGTCTTTACCACATGCAGGCCCACACAGAAGTAGCTCTCCCCCATCTCATAGCTCACCACCTTCACATGGAAGCTCAAGCTCATCACCACCTTCACAAGGAGGTTATTATACTCCTACTCCAACTCCATCAACACCTTCAGGTGGCTGTGGATCATCATCACCACCAACTGATCCTTCAACACCCTCACATCACCCTCCATCAAGTGGTGGATACTATACCTCACCACCCTCAACTCCAACTGACCCACCAGTCACTTTTACACCACCATCTCCATCCACACCAATTGACCCTGCCACCCCTACTCTCCCATCACCTCCTTTCCTTCCTTCCCCATCTCCCTTATCTGGAACATGCAAGTAAGTTGTGACTTTTTCTCTCTAAAAGTAACTTAGTAAAAATATGTTATATTACCCTTTACAATAGTATTAATATATTACTTTTTCTGTAATTTTCAGCTACTGGAGGAACCATCCAGCAATAATATGGGGAATTCTAGGTTGGTGGGGAACATTGGGAAATGCATTTGGTGTGACAAGTGTTCCTGGGTTTAGTCCTGGTTTAACCTTACCACAAGCACTATCCAACACAAGAACTGATGGGTTAGGAGCACTCTACAGAGAAGGAACTGCTTCATTTCTCAACTCTTTGGTCAACCACAAGTTCCCTTACACAACTGATCAAGTTAGGGACAGGTTTTCTGCCTCACTTCACTCCAACAAAGCTGCTGCAACACAAGCTCATCTTTTCAAGATGGCAAATGAAGGAAAAATCAAGCCTAGATCACCATGAAATTTATTTTAATATCATAACCCTAATTAATTAGTTTGCATGTTTGTTTTTTTGGTATGTTGATTTATCATTAAGGTTTCTGTTAGTTTGTGTTATTTCATTTAAGACACTTACATGTGTTGATTTATTATGTTGAGATGGATATCATGTTTCTTAACAATTTCATTTAATGCAAGCTTTATGGTTCTTCTAGATTAAATTTGAACTTCATTTATAGTTATGATTGAAGGTTGTTGATGTGGTTTGTTATTGTTGTTGTTGTCATTTGTTCAGAAAATTCAAGTATAAAATTTAATCATTGTTATGTCAAAAAATTAATTTTGATAGACAGAATAATAATGAAGTAGTCTAAAAGTATCCAATGGGGTTACTACATAAGTTGCACAAATCAAATGATAGAGAATAGGTGAGTGTTGCAGAAAAATAAAGGTTGCTTGCTCTACTTAAATGTTGTGTAGTTGAATATTTAATGTTCATAGTTGTCTTTTGGTGTGAGCCAATGGGATGTATCAACCTTACAGTGATGCTTTAATATGTAGGGCATGCTCATTTGGAGTAGGATTCCAAACACATGTTTAGAGTTTTTGTTGATCTCTATTTTGAAATTCAATGTTTTCAAAAATGATGGAGGAACTAGATTTAACACATATTGCATAAATTATAAAAGCACACATTAGAAGGAATAAAACTTTTGGTTACCTTCCATTAGTAAGCACTTCTTTAATGTCAATGTGGTGAGCCTCTCAACTTCACAACCAAGATATGGTTTGAATATCTCACCATTTATTGTTTAACTTGTTAGATCTTTCAATTCAATTGCATATAGTATGACCTCTTTCATAATAAATTATTCGAACCACTTTTATTTTTATATTATAGGAAATAATTTTAACCTAGACTTAAAAAAGAGAATTTTATTTTTAATAAAGTATTGTGTTGTTCAACAATGCAAAATTGAATCTTTATGTGATTTTAGATTTTTTAAGTTTGTGGCCTATGCTATTGTCTCTATTGATGTTGGAGCCTTGCAATCTGCATTGGAGCGTTGTCACAATTTTGAACTAATCCATTCTTGATATGTGTCGATATTAAGTTGGTTTCAGAGTTTTGACATATTTATTGGTGGGTGCCCAAGTTTATTAGATCTCAATATGTAATTAAGATTCATATAAGTTTATAAGTGCTAAAATTACATAAATATATAGATATTTATTGACTTGTTTTACAAGTAATCGATACAATACCTCCTCTCCTAATTTATCAATAAAAAGTTTTAAAACACCTGTTTGAACTTTCTACTTGCATATTTATCAAAATCACGTTAAAAGGATTAAAAAATCACCAATTAGTAAACAAAGACCTTGCCAACTTTCTACAAGCATTGCTTGATAGGCCTCGTGCATGGTAGCACTAGGCGAGCATAAGCAAGAAAAGACTTTCTAGCTAAGTAACTTTATGGTGAATGAAGGGTTTGTGTGTTAAGCGAATATGGACGGTGAGTCTAGCAAGTTAGGGCGACTAGGGATAGTTGTAGGGTGATTTGCCATTTTTTAACTTTGAAGAAAGTAGGATCTGTCATTTATGTTTCCCATTTATGTTTCCTTCAGTCATGATGTTTTATGGAATTTTACTTAAAATTTAATATTGATGATTTTTTGTTCTTAATGTTTATTTTGGTTTAGCTATCTAAAATATGTTTTTATTATACAATTTGACATACAGAAGGTATTGGCCATTACTAGATTTAAGTCTCCAATATTGAATGTTAATGCCTATATATAGGTTTAGCTTTAATATCCATAGAATAATGATAATTGATAATCAATATTTTTATATTATTGTTTGAACCTAATGTTGTTGTATTTATTAATGAGACATTGTCTATTAGATAATATAACTGATCTCACATTGTTGAGTTAGAAATAAGATAAAGTGGGAGCAATAGATAGTAATATTAATGGTTAAGTAATAGAGAATATTAATGACCAATGATTATATACGACTATAAAGATTTATAAATCTACTCCTATCAAATTTTCTCACTGTTAACATCGAAATTTCTATTTATTTACAGACACTTACTCTTCCACCACCAAAAAACTTTTAACCCTTATTTAAAACAATAAAAACCGTTGAATCCATTTTTAAACACAATCACTATCTATAAATACGATAATATTACACTCGCTAATACATACTCACAACAAAAGTCTGTCAATGTATTTATTCATTTACATTTTGATCATTTCTTCGCAGCAAGTTCATAAAATACACCTAAAGGATAATAATGGCTTTGTAAATCAGCATTAGTTTTAGAAAAAGTATTCTAAATATACTCCGCATAAAAGTGGAACCATATTAATCATGATATGCATTGCATACCATAGAAAAAATTTAAAGAAAATATTAAAAATGCAAAGCACTGCCTACCTTGAAATCAAATGTTTTCTTGGTAGACTCAAGATATGCATTATTTACATTAATTTCCAACAACATTGAATTTAAATTACTTGTCAGTGACAACAACATTAGATTTATGAGGGGAGAATGAAAAATATGAGTTTTTTTTTCATTGATAACAACCAGTTAAGAATATGAAGAATAACCCAGGTAACAAAAATAACCCACCCCTAAAAGAGTTAATAATCTCTTCATTTCTCACAAGAATAGAGAATACAATTACTATAGTATTAATATATAAATATATATATTATTAAAATATGTGATATATATTTTGTATAATATATATATTTATACACGAATACTATAGTAAATGTGTTCTCAATTTCTTTTGAGAAATGGAAAAGATCTCCACCCCTCTAAAAGGACTCAAAATAGAGATCAAACTTCCGGAACATTTCAAATATTTTAAACAACTAAATATCAAATTATATCAAGTCCACTGTGATACGGTGACAGAACCGACTGTTATACTGGTTTGTGTTTTTTGTTCGCAAATGTGTGATAAGCAAGAGTCGTCATCGAATTTTATTTCATCCAACAAAGGAAAAGGGAAAAGAACAGAAAAAAAAATCTTTTTTCGAGATGTTTCTGAGTACGCGCCCTTTCTATCCATGGTTTTCCATGGGATCTTAGGTACTTTTCTCATTTAGAATTGCTTGTGCGTGATTGTTTTGAAAAAAGTTTTACTTCGTGATAACCCTTGTATCAATTCTCAAGAGTGTGACGAAGTTGTTTTGAAAAGTGTTTGTGTGAAAAGTTTTGTTTGAGCAAGTACCTAAGAGCTAATCTACCTACTCGAAAAAAGTCTGTTCATTTCCCTTTAGACAGCGCTATCCTATTATTAAGGAATAGGTAGCACCGTCGTTGGAGTTTTAAGGGACGTTTGGAGGGACAAATACGATCAAAAAATCAGTGTTAGGAAATTTTAGTAATCATCCTAAAGCCTTAAAGATCTTTTTCTGAGGCAACATCCGATTGAGTCATTTTAGATCTTTTGGGACTAGAGGACAACCACTAACATTCCCTATACTTCATGACCGTTTATCGAAGACAACCAGAGTGGAGTAAACCCTAGGAGTGAGCATGTGCAAGTGTATTTTTCAGTTAATTATCTTTGAACAATTAGGGTTTTCTACTGTTTTAATTTCAACCTGTCTTTCCATACAATTCTATACATACATCTAAGCAGTTTATAGTTCGCGAAAATAAAAATATGAGAAGTTAGAGTCCTAATTATTACAAGGCTTTGGGCAGATACATGATTATTTTTGACTGAAAATAAAATGCCGAATTAAAACCCTACTTAAATCTATTACAAACTCAGAGCAGTTACAATAATAATAAAAAGAAAAATTAAAAGCGTACGGCGAATTAAATGAGAGAAATAATTGGACAACCTAAAAAAATATAATTTGAGAAAATATTTATGTTATTTTTTTAAGGAAAAAACTAGGTTATGTACAAAATTAAACCCCAATTCTAATTATTTTGAATTATAACAAAAAGAGAATTAAATTGCCTAAATTTAATTAAACTAATTAATTAATAAAAATATTTTTATGAAAAAAAAGATTTTTGATGTTTTTATGATTTTTTGATTAAATAAAAAAAACATAATTTTTGGAGTTATTTGAAAAAGAAATAGTTAATAAGTAATAAAAAAGAATTGAAATAAAAAAGAATAGAATTTGGGTCTGTATGATGAGCAAATAGGGGGGGTGCATTTCTGAATTTATCCAGGCCCAATATTGGCTGAGCCCATTCCCTCACGCTTGATTCAATGTTGTTGCGCCTGGAGAGTACACCATGGTCCCTCCTTGGTTTGAACGTTGGATCTGCGTTGGCAACGATTCAGTGGCTGGATCAGTGTGGTGCATGATGGATATCTGGCCTTATAATGCATATGATATGCAATCACGTGTTAAGAAAATAAAGAAAATATGTTGGGACTTGGGATCGAACCCAGGTCCTCCCACTCATTCAACGCTTTCTATGGACATCTGTGCTTCATTGCTTAGTTGTAATAATAATAAGATTAAATCATAATATGCAAAACAAGGTGAGTAACTGAAGAAAACGCGCGTAATTCAAATGGCCCAGTGGGATGGTGACAAGTCATCATCTTCTTCTCTGTCCGTTATCTTAGGTACCAAAGTTATACCTACGGACAAAACTCCATAGCTATAAACCTGCAAGCTTCAAAAATTCATATGACGCATGATAAATTAATTCTAACTATACCAATCAACTCGTCTTGATCTCACGAGTATCATGGCATTGTTTTCTTGGTCCAATTTCACCTGTACAAAGAAGCCCCAAAACGGCTTCTTAAACCCTAACCATGGCAATCATCAATATATGTGTCAAAACATCAATTAAATCATTCAAACATGTTGCAAATATGTTAATAATCACAAATATATCATTAAAACATGCTTAGGATGCAAGAATTGTCATAATCGATTTTGAGAAAAAAGGCAAACTGTGTGAAGACTATGGGACGATTTTGGGCTTGGGAATGCTTGCAATGGATTGTG